CCCTCGGCCTCCCACTGGGACGCGCGTCTGTAATTTTAGGAAGGGACACTTCCCCACAGCCCACAAGTCCCTGGGGAAGCTTTCGTACACCTCTGGCTTCTGCAGCAGCTGGGGGAGCAACCAACCTGCTCTACCCCTGCCAGGGGGATGCGGCACCCAGTGGGGCCAGGACACGAGAGCTGGGAGGGCACTGCCTCCTCAGGTTGCTCTACGGAGGGGTCTGTGGGATGGAGGCGGAGGAGGAGGAGGAGGAAGATGCTCTCCTGAGTGCCCCTACTCTGAGCACCAGGTGGTTTGCTCCCCATGGCAGTATGGTGCTGGCGAGCGGTCTCCAGCACAGCCACGAGCAGGGTCACAGCACCCACCGCCTGCCAGCTCTGCCTGCTGGCACCGTGCTGTGCTGCACTCGTGGCAGTGGAGGAGGCTAAAGCTCAGGGTAAAAAATGCAGACTTACAAGGAGGAAGGGCGCAAGGAGAGCACTCAAGGCTATGGCCGTACGCTCAGGTGATGAAGAGGTTGTGCTCCATCACATACTGAGGTGGTGGCATATGGAGTTGGCGAGCTCCCAGCATCTGCTTCTGCTCCAGAGCACTTGAGGCACTTCTTCTCGTGGAAGATAAAAGCAGCAGAGTATCACCCTGCCCTGGCAAGCAGCAGGCTGGGGATGGCAGCCAGGCTGGCAGCTCCCTGAGGATGCCCAGCATGTTGGGTTTGTGGTGGGGGAGGACAGACACCAGAAATTCCAGCTCAAAGAGATGAGGAATTTGCCCAGATCAGCTATTTTCCACTTTGTGACTGCATCCAGCATGCACGCCCTGCTCGCGGAGACCACAGGCGCTCAGCACCAGAACTTCTGGTGCAACAGCACGTGGAGACGGAGCAGGTTTCTCCGCTCGCTGCTCAAAGGGCAACCCCAGGCACGAGGGCCTCCAGCCTGAGCAGTGCATGAACCTGGGCTAATGTCACCTGGACACCAGCACAGCCAGCTTGGGGTTAATTTTACAGATAAGGGAATGCACAGAAGGAAAAATCTGAGATATGGCATGCATGGCTCCATAAATAAGGTAGTCCCTCCCAAGTGTTTCTGGAGTAGCCAGGGGAGCCAGCCACTGCAGGAATAAACCTCTGCACAGAGAAGGAACTTCAGCTCCTGAGTCTGCAGGTTAACTTGAGCTCTGAGTTTGCTCCAGCAGCACTCAGCTCCGCCTGGCCCATGTGGCTGCTCCTTGCCCCCAGTACACCCGGTCACAGCCCTGGTTGGGGTGCAGAGCCACCACCAAGCTCTCCTGAATCGCTGGCACACTAATGAGCTCACATTTCCCTACCTCAGGTCTGGCCCATTGAGCTTATTTCTATTAAATGCATTTGAGAACATAAATCTGTCTTCAGGAAAAAAAAAGACAAAAACCAGCTCATTAAGAAGACAGACAGCGTCTACAGTCTGAAAGGAACAGCAAATGGCAGCTGCCAAAAATGTCAATGTTAAATGCAGCTGCCAGCTGGGATTTATTAAAAGGTAGTTATACAGCAGTGGCAGTGAACGGCACATCTTGTACTGGGGTAACCTCCCCTTCCTCTCCCACCTTCACACAGCTTGCTGGCTCTGGTGCATCCAGCGCCACCGTGACCTCTAGGACTGGCAGCTTGGATATGCTGGGTGTCGCTCACTGCCTAAATGCTTCGTTTAATTGGTTCTCTATCTAGGAAAGCCAGAACCAAGGAAAAGAGCTAAAGCACTGCTCAGGGAGGGTGAGGTACCACCTTTCTCTGTGTGACCCTGCTCTGTGTCCTTGGGGAGAGGCAGCCAGCGCTACCCCGGACAGTAACTAAGCTGCAGCTTGTTCTCAGCTATGAGAACAAGCAGGGACCAGACGCATGGCAGCCAACTTGGGTTTTCCATTGCTCCTATGGAGGACCTGGGGTCTCCTTGACATGTGAATACCCTATGCTAAAACAGAAGGACAAGACATATGGGGAAGGGAGAAAGTGGATAAATACCACCTGTACAGGCTCAAGAAGCCAGCTGCATTCAGCAGTGACCGCAGCGCCCACACCCCACACCTGGCATGGAGGTTGAGCACCTCCAAAACCAAAAACCAGTCAGCCTCTGCAGGTCCTCTCTGCAGAGGTCTTTGCTCGCGTCTCTCCCAACCCACCTGGTCCCTCACCATCAGCGCAGGAGAAGGACGGACTGGCCTGTCTTGGCCGCACGTGCCATGACACAGCGCCACCTCCCACCCCGTGGGACTTCCCACCCATACCCACCTCTTTAAGACTGATGTTCGCTGTGTAGATCACATTCGTCCCATCCCTCTTGAAGTGCGAGTGAGGCTTGTCCTTGAGGATGAAGATGATGTCAGCGGGGATGTTGTCCGGGGTGGCGTCCCCTTCTTTGGGGAACGTGATTTTGGTTCCCGCCTTCCAACCCCGTTTGATAACAATGTTTAGGATCTTGTCCTCAGTCCGCATGGTCCGGCCATCAGCGTTGAGCCTTTTGCGTGTGATCTTCATCCTCTTGGTGGAGCCGTGGTAGATCTCTTCCAGGGACACCTTGAGCTCGTGGATGATGGGTGGGTCTTGGACTCTCCTTCGCGTATGCAGGGACTCCTGGTGCCGCCGGTGAACCCCGTTAACGCCGTTGAAGCCAAACCGGCCGAAGGCACTGAAAGGGTCATCATCGTCATCGATATCCAAGTCTTCTTGGTCAAAGCCATTGAACACTCGGGAGCGGCTGCTCGCGAAGAAGATGTCAAAAGGGTTGGAGCCTCCGAAGAAGGATGCGAAGGTGGCGTGGGGGTCTCCATGGAAGGTGTAGTGGAAAGTGTTCCCTGAGCTACCTGAACAGCCACCTCCAGTTTTGAGACCTGGAAGAGAAGGGGGAAGACGAGAAATTAACGTTCTCTGCCGGCAGATGCTGTGCCAGGACTGCACTTTCCAGGCATGAGTGTGGTCTCTGCTGGCTCCAAGCAGCCCTTCCAGCACCTCCTGGGGGCGCAGGTTACCCCCTCCAGCCCAGCCACCTGCGAAGGGCACGGGCCAGGGAGATACAACCTCAGCCCATGACTCACAGTCCTAACCCTACACCCAGCAAGCTCAAAATCTGTTTCAGGTTTGTACCTGCTACCCTTACGGAAGCACTTCCTTGGTCTTCTCCACCCAATTCATGGCCTTTTCATTTAAAACATCTCCTGAACAGCCCAGCTCCACTTTTCCCCACGGGCAGGCTCCCTTCTGCCCAAATAGCCCTGTCTCTTGGGCCACACCGACGGCCACAGTCCAGGAGCACCATGTCCTGCAGGTGAGAACAGGCTTTGAGCTCAGCAAGGGACCGTGACCATGGGTAGCAGAGCAGGTGGAGGTCTGCAGACCTCCGGGTCAGCACGCAGCTCCCTGAATACAGACTGTACAAAATGCCAGGTAACCTCAAGGTTTGGATCTTTTGGGAACCGTTCCCATGGGAACCCCCCCTGCTGGGTCCCATGCTGAGCCTTATGTCACTGCAACTCCCCCAAAGTCCCAAACAGCCAAGGCACATGACAAGTGCCCCTCCAAAGAGGTCACACACACTCTGCAAGGCTATTTTTGACCAGGAGGGGCGGGAAGGGTTAAGCCAAGCCTAGCTCAAGGACTATTTTCAGGGCAGGATGGTGACAGTGAAGGGCTATTTCTGACAGGCTGGCCCTTGTGCCAGGCCCCCCCCCCAGTGAGAAATAGGAGGGGGATAAGCACAGACTGGGCAGGTTTGGGGGTCTTTTCTGATTGATGAAGTTAATATTCTGCGTGGGTTGGGGGGCTTTCGCTTCACCTTGCCCACTGCAGCGTGTAGGACCCAGAAGCCCCTCGAAATGCCAATCCCCAAGACACGCTGCTCCAAAAAACCGCATCTGATGGGAGATGAAAGGTGTGGGGGGCCACGGGCCATGACGGGTCTGACACTGATGGAGCAAGGAGGGAGATGCTCTTCTCACCCTCCTTCACTTGCTCTTACGTTAGATGCCTTCAGGCAATGAGGATTTCGCCAAATCCCCGTCGAGCCCCCGTCCCTAACAGACTGTACAGCCAGAAGGTTGCACCTTTAATCCGGTGACGCCAGCCCAAGCGGGGTCCAATTTCGGCGTCGCCTCCAGGGAAAGGCTGGTATCCCACTTGAGACAGTCTCTTCTCATTTTACAGGGTGGCAAATCACTGTGCCTGGTGCATCCATCACAGATAGCCCTGACATAACTAACGGGTTGAGAATTAACCCAGCGCTGGTTAATTCTGCCGGTGGCTCATTAGGGGATGCACCTGCCTGCTGGCCCCAGGAAAGGGGCTGCCTCTTCCACCCAGCAGCCTGTTCCTGCCAGACCTCCTGCTCTTTTAATCACCCAAGTCCTGGGCTGATTAATGCAGATGCTATTCGGTGCTCTCCTCAAATGGGGTTGTGCTCTTCCATCTTCGACTAATAAGGCCGCCTGCGTGGAGCTGCTCTCCTCCTCCGTGCCAACCACCAGACAACAGCAGCCGCTTGGTTTCAAAACAAGGACCTATTACTTAAATTGGGAAAAGCTTTGAATCCTGTAGGTCAGCCTGTACCAGGGAGGACAACGGGACCAGTGCCCAAATGCGGGGGGAATGTGAGCAAAAGCAATGCTTCTCTGCTGGGATATTTAGGTCAATTAAAGGCTTGCTACACAAATTACCCCAGGTATGACCGGCAGAGAGAGCCCAGCCATCCCAGGAAGCAGGGTGGCAGGTTGGAAAAGCAGAGCAGCCTGGGGAGGAGCAGGATGAGAGGTGATTTCTGGCACCCACAGAGCCTTTGCTCTCCCCAGTTCTGTGGTTACCAGCCCCAGTCTGGGAGCAGGCACGAACCACAGGAACGCCTCTCTGCAAAAATGCCCCCTCACCTATAAAAATCAATTTGGACCCTGCACCCCCACCTCCGAGCCGGCATTGCTTGTCCCCTTACCTTCCTCCCCGTACTGGTCGTAAACAGCTCGTTTCTTGGGGTCACTCAGGACGTCGTAAGCCTCTGCGATCTCCTTGAACTTCTCCTCAGCATTAGGGTCTTTATTCTTGTCGGGGTGGTACTTCAGGGCCATTTTCCGATAGGCTTTCTTGATTTCATCCTCGTTGGCGCCACTCTGGATGCCCAAAATCTTGTAATAGTCCTTCCCCATGACGGTGACACTGCCGGGAGCCGAGTACTTATTCCTGAAAGCAGAAAGACAGCTCTCCGTGAGGCGAACGTCGCGCTGGGGCAGCCAGGGACGGGACCGGCACGCACTTATCGCGGAGCCGATGCTCCCTGCGTCCCACTGGCCAGCAGCACCACAGCCGGATCAAGTCCACGCTTCCCACCGGAGGTCAGAGCCCCGGTGCCAGGATGTGGCCCGGCTCCAGTTCTACCCCGCCAAGCCCCACGCTGGGGACGAGGAGACTCATCGCTCAGGCTGACGGGGAGCGGGAGAGCCCCAGCCGGGGCACGGCGTTATATTATAGGGGCCACACCACCGCTAACGTCAGGCCAGGACCACGTCCCCGTCCCGTGTCCCACCCCGCTGAGCCAGGAGGGCTGAGCTATGCCTAAATGTAGCAGCTGGCCCGTGTCCATCCCCACCCCCTCGGTTCTCTCCCAACCGGGAACGTAGGACCCGAGCTGGGGTGATGACAGGAGGTTTTTGGAGGCTGAAAGCAGCGGCAGGGACCGTGCTGCCGCCTTCACCTTAAAAGAACTTCAAACATTTTGTTCCTGAAAGCAATTGGCATTCAGCTGGAGATAAGCGCCTCCGGCTGTCAGAACCGTAATTTGTATTTAGCGAAGAGAGAACGAAGCCGTTAGACAGAAACATCTTGTGATGGTGGGAGGGCTTTTTATTTTTTTTGTTTAAAAAAAAAAAAAGCCAAAAAACCCACCACTTTCTAGCCTGACTTGCACTCCCCGAGAGCCTTCAACTGCATCTTGCAGTAAGCCAGAAACCCGGGGCTCATTCCCTCCACCGTGAGGGGGCTGAGGCCAGGGCCATGCCTATACTAAGGCACGGAAAACCCAGCGGCCACAGCTCATCCCCCAACCACGCCGCTGGAGTCGCCGAGACCCAGGGAGCAGCTGGAGGAGATGGGAGGGCAGCTCCTCCAAGCAAAGGCTGAGCAAGTTCTCCAACAGCAAACTCCCGACCCCCCCGAGCCTGGCCTGACCCCCGTGCCCCACATAGCGCAGCTCAGCACTTGCTGCTGGCCCTGCTCTCCTCCAGGCGTCGCCCCAACAGACCCGCTGCCCTCTGCTAATCCCTCCTGCTCACGTCCTGCTCCCTGATACGGTCCAGGTTTCACCCCATCCTTGCTCCAAATGCCCCCGCGGCAGCCCCAGCCCATCGTGCCCCTCCAGCAGACAGATTTCGGAACCTTGGCCCTTTCTTTCACCATCATACAAGTTACCAGATGTTCTCCCCCTCATCCTTACTCTACCCATAAGCTCCTGGTGGAGGGGAGCCCTCCCGGTCACAGAGGGACCCCCCCAACCACAGCAGCTCAGGAGACAGTGGCTGGGCCCCCCACGGCGCTGCACAGAGCCCCTAGCATTCATCCCAAGCATCCAAGGCTTGTCTCAGGTCATGCCTCAGGAAATAACCCCTCTACAGTTGGGTAGCTGCCACAGGGGCTTGGAAACTGGCCCCGTATTTGGCCACCTCGATCCCAACCACCAGCTTCTGCTCTTTTTTGCCCCAGCTGTGGAGCAGGTACTTTGCTGTAGGTGGGGAAGAGGGGCTAAGGCACCCAAGGCACAGACCTCGGAAGGACACGGTGAGGGGAGATGGGGTCACCGGTGGATGCACAAGGCAGCCCGGCGGGGCACAGAGGAGGTGGCAGAAGGTCCCTGGGGGTGTAAGGAGCATCTGGCAGCGTCTCTCATGGCAACTCCTTGATGCCGGCACGTTTCCGCACCAGCTCCTG